ATAATAATAATAATAATATAAATAATAATAGCAATAAAATATTATTAGTAATAATAATAATAATATTATTAGTAATAATAATAATATTAGTAGTAATAATAATAATACTTATAAAATAATAATAATAATAATAATAATAATAATAATAATAATGTGTTATAAAATGTTTGTTCTTGTTTATATGGTTTTTGGAACTATTATCATGCTGTATAGTGTATGGTGACAACAGTATGTGCTAGTTGTACTCTACTAAGGTGGTTTACAAGGTTAACAGGACATGCAAGGTGTCCTCGTATTTAAAAATGCTAATTAATAAGGTCTTTTTGATATCCAAATTTTACCACAGGTTTCCTTTTTTACAGTATAACATACATTATGTCTATGCTCATGAACCACCAATACAAGTTTGTGTGTATACTTGTTTCTATATCCCGGTGAGGAATTAAACATGAATACATACAGACTCATGGGGACTTGTGTTATAGTGTGGACCAAATGGAGGTCCCCATTAGTAAACATGCTTATAAATCAGACAGAATAAGCATTTTGTAAATGTGAAAAGGCAGATTCTGAGGGTTTAGGGGTAGGAAAAGAGAATATACTATACTAAGAGAGTCCCGACCGGGACATAGAAACAAGTCTGTATGTCTATGTGTGTGTCTATATGTGTGTGTATATCTACTGTATATGTGTGTGTGCTACTCACTGCTTCTCTGGGCAGAAAGGCGTCCTCTTGTCTGCTGATCAGAAGGCCTACAGTGCCTCCCATGGCAGTGGAGCGCAGCAGAGCCACAACCTCCTCCTGAGTTTTACCATTCAGATCCACTCCATTCACCTGGAAAAAAATAATAATTTAATTTAAGTTTATTTTTACAGCTCTTTTCACATTAATTATTGTTTCAAAGCAGCTTTACAAAAGGTGCACATTATTGCATTACAAACAAATTAAGAAAAAAAGTTCAGGTTATTAGTTAACAGCTCTGATTTTTAACATCAATAAAATAACCTCTATTTTTTGTTTATCAATGTCTTTTTTAGGGAAAAAAAGAATCATGCAAGACTGTTAGTGTACTGTAATATTAGTTTATGTCCACAAAGCTTATATTTAGATCTTATATAATATTATATAATTTATTGCGAAAATTTTCCCCTACTAAATATAATTTAAAGTTCAAAGTTTGGCTCTCAAATACTCCTTAATCTTCAATATCATATTGTTTCATATATCCTTCATTTTACTAGTTTTCATTTATTGTTTTTATGTATTTTCATTGAGGTAATAAAAGGGCAGAGCGGTGGTTCAGTGGTTATCAATGTGACCTTACAGCAAGAAGATTCCCAGCTGATCTGTGTGGAGTTTGCATGTTCTCCCCATATTGATGAGGGTTTCCTCCGGGTGCTCCGGTTCCCACACAGTCTAAACACATGCGCTATAAGGGAATTGGGAAATGGCCGTAATGTATGTGTGTGAATGAGAGTGCATGGATGTTTCCCAGTGATGGGTTGTAGCTGGAAGGGCATTTGCTGCATAGAACATATGCTGGAAAAGTTGGCGGTTCATTCCGCTGTGGCGACCTTGGTTTAATAAAGGGTCTAAGCCGAAAAGAAAATGAATAATAATAATAATAATAATAATAATAATATTAATAATAATAACAATAATAATAATAATAATAATAAATAAATAACAACACTAACAACAACAATATTAATAATATTAATAATATTAATAATATTAATAATAATAATAATAATAATAATAATAATAATAAATAACAATACTAATAACATCAACAACAACAACAATAATAATAATAATAATGATAATAATAATAATAATAATAATAATAATAATAATAATACTAACAACAATAATAACAACAACGAAAACAGCAATTTTTATAAATAACAATACTAATAACAACAACAACAATAATATATAACATATAATAACAATTAGTAATAATAATATTAGTAATAATCAATAACAAATAATAATTATAATAATAACAATAATTATAGCACAGTCAACAGTTTGTGCGTGTGCATATTTCATCTTGTTTTAATGTTTTGTTTTAATGCAAATTTACTTATAATTATTACTAATAATAATATTTTTAGCTTTAGCGGACAACAGCAAGACTGGTGATGCATATAACACATAACCTTCCTAATCTCCGAGTCATTATACTGACATTATAAAGCTTGACCTGTGCCGCAGTGACGTTACTGATGTGACTCATTTGAGAAGGTGTTTAATAGAGCACCAAATAAACCATGAGTTATATTCCGACTAATTACACCCGATCAACCATTACAATTAATAGCAGTCACATTACAGTGACCATGACAACGTCAACGGGAAAGCTCTGCGCTCATATTTCTATGGCTCTCTGAAAGGCCGTGACTCCATTAAAAGCCATGAATCAGGGTTTGTTGAGCCAAAATGGCCATCTGCAGGTGTTCTGATCCATTTACAAATGAAACGGCCATTGTTGAGCGGCTGATCCTGTAAATCACTTCTCTCTGTCTGTTCTCTTTTATTAAGCTTATTTGCTCTGTCAAATAAAAAAAAAAGTAAAAAGGCTTTTATATTTTATTTTTCATTTGAGGAAGTTGTGGATAGGAAAAGGAATATGTGGACAGGAAGAGAAAGGAGGATGCTGTGGGCAGGAAAAAATAGTCTGAGGAAAAGAAGAGGAATCTGTAGACAAGAAAAATAATCTGTGGACAGGAAGAGGAAGCTGTGGACAGAAAAAATAATCTGTGGACAGGAAGAGGAAGCTGTGGTCAGGAAAAAGAATCTGTGGACAGGAAGAGGAAGCTTTGGTCAGGAAAAAGAATCTGTGGACAGGAAGAGGAAGCTGTGTTCAGGAAAAAGGAATCTTTGGAAAGGAAGAGGAAGCTGTGGACAAGAAAAAAAATCTGTGGACAGGAAGAGGAAGCTGTGGTCAGGAAAAAGGAATCTTTGGACAGGAAGAGGAAGCTGTGGACAGGAAAAAAATCTGTGGACAGGAAGAGGAAGCTGTGGTCAGGAAAAAGGAATCTTTGGACAGGAAGAGGAAGCTGTGGACAAGAAAAAAATCTGTGAACAGGAAGAGGAAGCTGTGGACAAGAAAAGAATCTGTGGACAGGAAGAGGAAACTGTGGACAAGAAAAGAATCTGTGGACAGAAAGAGGAAGCTGTGGACAAGAAAAGAATCTGTGGACAGGAAGAGGAAGCTGTGGACAAGAACAAAATCTGTGAACAGGAAGAGGAAGCTATGGACAGAAAAAATAATCTGTGGACAGGAAGAGGAAGCTGTGGTCAGGAAAAAGGAATCTTTGGACAGGAAGAGGAAGCTGTGGACAGGAAAAAAATCTGTGGACAGGAAGAGGAAGCTGTGGACAAGAAAAAAATCTGTGAACAGGAAGAGGAAGCTGTGGACAAGAAAAGAATCTGTGGACAGGAAGAGGAAGCTGTGGACAAGAAAAGAATCTGTGGACAGGAAGAGGAAGCTGTGGACAGGAAAAAAGAATCTTTGGACAGGAAAAAGAAGATGAGGAAAAGAGGAAGCTGTAGACATGAGGAAGAGTTTGTGGACAGGAAGAGGAAGCTGAGGACAGGAAAAAAGAGTCTGTGGACAGGAAGAGGAACCTGTGGATAGGAAAATGAGTCTATGGACAGGAAGAGGACGCTGTGGATAGGAAATCAGTCTGTAGACCGGAAGAGGAAGCTGTGAACTGAAAAAGGGGTCTGTGGACAGGAAGAGGAAGCTGTGGACAGTAAGCCAAAAATTGAAGAGAAAACTGTGAAGAGGAAGAGAAAGCTGTGGACAAGAAAAATTAATATTTGGACAGGAAGTGGAAGCTGTGAGCAGGAAAAGGAGTCTATTAACAGGAAAAGGTAGCTGTGGACAGGAAGCCAAAAAATGTAGAGGAAACTGTGGAGAGGAAAAAGCATGTGGTGATTTCTGACCTCCAGCAGGCGGTCTCCAGCTTTCAGACGGCCGTCCTGAATGGCGGCTCCTCGAGGGAGGATGTTCTTCACATATATGGGGGCAGAAGTACCGATCGGGACATCTCTGGAGGTGATGCTGAAGCCCAAACCCTCTGGACCTACACACACAAACAGCAAACATTAACACCCACTACTGAAGAAGCTGTGTATAGAGAAACAACATAGCCAACTAAACCACAGATTATGATAATTATAAGTCACTTAAGTAGCAACAAGATAAACAATATTTAATTATTTTAAAAAAGTGTATTTTCAGTCATTAAACTTCTCTACTGATGTCTATTTGCACTTCTCTATATTTACCACCATCACTTAAAGCGTACATCGGCCGCAATGAAATTACAGTCCTCCTCAAGTCTAATGTATCTAATAACTAATCTGAATCCATCAGAAGAGATATATTTTTATCTGCCACACTGAAAAAAAGTGTGTTCCAACATGGCCTGTGCACACAAATACAAATTACACAGGCAAAACCCCAACATATGGCAACACAGCCACCCTAATTAAACGTTTGAAACCCATCTGTGTGTATGCGTCTGAACCGCTGCGTGATTCAGATTTAGAGGCGAGCATTTTCAGAGGCACGTACTTTTACAGATGTACCAGCACAGAAACATTACATGCTCGCCGTTTGCTTTTCTCCCCATCGAAACCAAAACTGGCGCTCTGATGTGCACATGCATCAGGCAAATTGAGCTTTACAGCTCACCCACAGACGCTACTAAATCCTGCTAAATGCAGTTAGAGGCTCAGACGCAGGGTGAACAGCGCCATTTGCTCCCTGTCCACAAAATGACCCTTTTTTTGGGGAGGGGGAGAGCTAAATGAATATGAATAGGCAGATATTGGAGAAGCGGAGAGGAAGAGTAATGGTCAGGACACAGACGGATCAGTAAGGTTGACCTTATCATTCCTGCAGCGGAGCTAATAGAAAGAGAAAAGCAGGAGAGAGAGAAACATGGAGAATCATTCAGAAGTGGGATATATGTCATGCTCACGGGCCCTCCATTATGAGTTATATGTTCTTTATTAATAAGATTTACCTAAAATTAAACTAAAA